CGAGCCTGTTTGGGTTTATATAAATACATAACTAGGGTTTGAGGTCCATAAGATTTTCATTATTCTTGCTGGCACAAGAGAAAACCCTAGAGGCTGCAATCATATTCTCTGTGTGGATCACCGTTGGAGGCTGGACAATTGGACAGCTGTGGTGGCGAATCATGGTTGTGGAACGAAAAGAAAAGCAAAAGGATTGCAGATCTGAAAAAGGTACAGTCTTATCACAATTTCTATCTAAACACAAAGGCGATTCTTGGTGGGAATCGAAAATTATTTTAAATTCCGCTGTGCATGTATAAGTAGATTCCCAACAGGAAAGACTAAGGAGGTAGCAAAGATGATCAGGAACTTTGGCAATGACAAGATCAGTGGACTTTGATTTATAGGTGATGCTTCATAAGCTATGCATTTTCAGATCCTCTTCATTTTCATTTCTCTTGTTCCCACGTATTAGTTGTAAGTTCTCTGAACAACTTAAACTTGTGAATTTTCTTCTGAATCCATTGCTTTACTGTGTCCATATGCATCTTGTGTGCCACCAGTGTTGAACTCAGTATGGCCGTTTATCTTCAAAGCTAAATGAAGTTCCAAGTTAGCTTCTATCCTTTAGAGTGGCTCAGCTCGGCTATTGACTACACTACCTGTTTAAATTCGGCTAGTACACTTGCTGTGCATAGACTCAGTTCACTTTGAGATGAGCTACATTTCTATGTGAAATCCAGCCCAGGGCCAAGGCTATTAGTCAGCTGCTCTAGGACTTGCAACCAACCTTGCACAGTTAAGCACTTAAATGTATATCTCTACCCTTGCCAACTATTAGGTTTCTAAAATTTTTGAGCCTATTAGCTTGTTTAGTACAGATTAAAAGCCAAATTAAAATTAATTTTTTGACCGTTATTTTACTATTCCAGCCGTCATTTTTGAATTCTTCTCTTATAGGTAGACCCACTTTATTTTTAACGGTCAAAAAATAAATTATCAAAATACCTACCGAACAAGTACTATATGTTACCAATTCTTCAAGATATGCCTTCTACAATAGGAGTAAAAAAATTAATGTTCACCATCAGGCATCATGGATTGGAAACCTCTCACGATAAGAAATGAAATGCACATTAACAAGTGCTTTGCAAAGAATTTGATTATACCGAAGTAATTTTTTTATTTTTTTTGGGAACAGATAGTGGGCTAAAGCATTCTAAACTGGCAAAACACGATTACTAAACCATGTAGGGTACTATAGAATGAAATGAAAGTCAAAACATTAAAATCCCAATTATCTACCAAAACAAGAGCTACAAACTCATCTTACGCCCACATTATCCCAAGCAAGAAACAGTATCCATATATCTTTTACGAGTTAATTATTTCAACACACACTGAACTTTGAATGGCGTCACGTTTCACTCATTGTACTTCGCTTTGCACCCTATTACTCACCGAATTTTATAACGTTGCACTCCATTACTCACCGAAAAACTTCCATCAATAACCCTTGCACACATGGAGGACGGAATTCATATCTAGCAGTTAAATGCTATGCCATTTCTCCCAAACACCAACAAATTATGCCTCACCCAAATCACTTGAAATCTTGTGAACCCTAAGAGCCACTTCATTTTGGGGCAAAGCTTGAAATCGCGAAAGAAGAAATCACCCAAGCCCAAAATTGTTTCTAACCCTAACCCCCAAGTCCATTCTACCCCCATCGAAGGCCCCCCATATCTGACTAACGAGAAACCCTTTTTTTTTTTTTATTAAAGTGGAAAAGGCATGAAGATGTATGGAGCAATTGAAGGTAATTTTAATTGTTCAACTTTGGTTCTGGAACCCATATCCTTCAATTTTTCCTCTTTAAAGCAGCCATGGAGGAGAAACATCGAATGTGTTTTAGAGAATGAGACAATAATATGGTCTATTATGTTAAAGAATTAATATGTATGAAATTTTTATCTGCTGGAAACTAGAAATTTTTTGTATTGGAAGATGGTTGAAAGGGCCTAAATTACAAAGTGGCATTACGTTCTTTAACCAGATAAAGATAAGAAATAAAGGAATCTAGTTCAGTAAAACATGTTCTGCATTTTGCCATCTTGGAACCAAACTTGAATTGATGTTTCACTTTGAGACAGGTCTAATTAAACTGAGAATGGGTTACCCGCATTTGATGGTTCAATTCAAGAACCTACATTTCAAGCATTATAAACAGTTTGTCTGAGAAGTTAACTGATTTTTTTGTGTACGATTGCTGCAGATCCTACTATAGGTTGTCAGGACTGAAGATATTGTATATTTGGTTTCATCTACATAGGAAAGACTTAAGACACTCAAGGCGACATACTTTGAGGCGTGTTTCGTTGGTATTTGGGAGAAATGAGATGGCATTTAACGACGTGTAATGAGTGTGATACATTAGTGAAATGGTTTCAAAGTTTCATTAATGAAGTTGTATATTTGTACACTTCCTTTTTTTCTCTCTCTCTTTTTGTTCTGTTATTATTGAGAATTAAAGACATTATTCAAAAGCTGCTTGTGTATATCTAAAAACATTCAATTGTTCCATCATGAGCTTTGTTTGGCTATAAAGACATTATACTTGAAAATGAAGATATATCGATCGTTTAACTAGCACAATTCTTGTTGTCATAACTTGGGTGAGCATGCAGCTGGTCCATCCAACTCTTGAAGCCCTTTGTAGACGAACTTTCTACTACAAACAAGGTTTGAACAATGCCTTATCCAAAGTAAGAAAACATTAATACACAAAACACAATAGCACATGATAGGACATAGATAATAGCCCAACTATCGCGATTTGAGGAACTTAGAAGGCCAACAACATTAATAATCTTCACAGTCGCCTTCTTCTTCATCATCTACGCCTCACCAACAACTTCTTTGTATTCTTTCTCAAGTGCAACTAAATCTTCACGAGCTTCACTGAAATCACCTTCTTTCATTCCTTCACCAACATACCAATGACCAAATGCCCTTTTGGCATACATCAGACCCAATTTGTGAAAACACTTCAGCTATAGCAGTGTTTGTTGCTAGTCATGCACATAGCTCGCTGCACCTTGGCAAGATTATCCTCGTGTACCATCGTTGGAGGTTGATAGTTAATACCACATTTGAACCAGGTTAATCATCTGCTAAGTCCATAGGGGGCATTTTCAGAATGGATGGCCAATAAATGAAAGGATGACAGACATAGTAGTGAAAACATCCTATCTATCAATCCAGGCCCCCTTCAACCATCTTCTAGTGCAAAAAAAATTCAAAGGATTTGGAGTTCCAAAAATAAATTTGAACAATTTAAATTACCTTCATTTCCTCCCTCCATCTTCACGTCTTTTCCACTTCAATCAAAAAAATTGTTCCTCATTCGTCAGATTGGGGGGGACTGTCGATGGGGTAGAATGGATTTGGGGCTTAGGGTTAGAAACAATTTTGGACTTTGGTGATTTCTTCTTGCGTGATTTCTAATTTTGCCCCAGAATTTGGCTTTTAGGGAGGATTTTTTGTGAATCGGGTGAGGCGTGTTTCATTGGTGTTTGGAATCAATGACACTGGCATTTAATTGCCAGCTGTGAATTCCGTCCTCCACGTGCGAAAGGGTCATTTACGAAAATTTCTTTATGAGTAATGGAGGGCAACATTATAAAGTTCAGTGAGTAATTGGGTGCAAGTTAAAGTACGGTAAGTAAAACTTGACACTACCTAAAGTTCAGTGTGTATTGAAACAATTAACTCTATCTTTTGCCAATGTCCATTGAGCAACCAAGTTCAAAGCTCGCCCCCTACCCTCTATCAAAAAAGAGGCAGGTAAAATGTGATAAAAGCATATCAACGGATAACAGATGACCAAAATTGCAGATG